GGATTGCGGCGTCTCCGCGATCACGCGGACTCGGATGAGGTCGTTTGCGCGGATGGTGCGGGTGTTGTCGGCGCTGATCCAAAACCCCTCCCCGCTGTCGGCCTCGTAGCACCACTCCCCCCGCCCGGGGTCGGTGGCCATCTGCGAGTGGCTGACGAAGACCGTCCCGACCCCGCAGGCGTTCCCCCAGCACCCGTCCACGCCCACGCGGCTCACCACCAGGTCCAGGACCTCCCCGCGGTGGAGCTTAAAGACGACCGCGGCGTAGGTGAGCCGGAAGGCGACCGAGCCGTTGTCGAGGACCTTCCCCTGCAGCGCGTTCGCCTGCAGGACGTCCAGCACGGCGACGACGACGGCCGAGGACTTGTGCGCCGACTGCGCCTCCGCGGCGACCCCGGCGAGGCTGTCGGGGGCGGGCACCGGCTGCCCTTCCACCGCCTCCCGCAGGAAGTGGATGAGGCGGCGGTAGAGCGTCCGGCCCAGGTCCTGCGGGGCCACGGTGAGGGTGCGCTGCAGGATCAGCTTGTAGAACATCCGGGGAGGGGACTTCGAGGCAAGACACAACAGAGAAGGGAGGGGGGTCGCAATAGGAAAACCCCGAGGGCGAATGAAGCGATGGGTCAATGAGGGCAACCGTGGCGCGAGCGAAGGACTCGCTCAGCCGTTCAAAATGATAATGAGGGAAGGCCTTAATAGAAGCGAATATTATAGATAGAACAATAAGAAAATAAAGAACAGTTAAGCGCATAAAAAATGATAGAATCCATTTCAGCTCAAAGAGAGACAATAAAACATAGAGGTTAATTTCTTTGGATTTTCTTGAAGTGGTTGGAATCTATCCATATGTTTTTGTAAAGACAACATGCAAACAACAATACCATACCAAAAAAACCCTTAGAATCAAAACTAAAAGTAGACAAAATATACAGATGATTATAAGGCTAAGTGTCAATATGTTATTAGATATATAAATAAGTGGTTTGACGCTATTCAAACCACTTTTATAATGCGAATAACACTCCCCTAAGAAAAGCACTAATTTGAAATTTATTTAAGTCATGTAATGCTTTGTCAGCACTCCTATGGGACTGGAAACTGATATAGAAAAAAAACTTCTTCAAGTCGTGATGCATTGCACTAAAAGTATTTTTAAGCTAGTTTTCAACTTTTTTAATATGATCGAAATAAAAAAATACTGGATACCCACAGATGAATGAACATTTTCCAGATGTATCCAATGATCTACTTCAAAATTCGAAATCAATATATAAATATATATATATGAATCATTTTGCTATGGGAATAGAGAACGTGTAATAATGTGGCAATTATACTTCTTTATATCCATGATTCCATATTCTACATAATTGATAAGTTGTCAGTCATCATTAACTTTTCAACAAGCTTTTGAATTAGTATAATCAATCAAATGGAGTGTTAAGACTGCGTCGGATAAATACAAACAAATCCGATTGAAAGCTAGAATTTAATAAATATCAACTGTAATAATAATAATTAATATACCTACTATTTAATACCATACTCCCTTTTGAGTTTGTAACTCATTTAATAGTTGTAATATTGGATGCCCTTTTAACCAATATCTTAATGAGGAGGGTAATACTGTCTGAACAGTAAATTTCTACCAGGTATTGTGATCAGAATCATGCTAGTGACTAAAGAAAAAGAGTGTTTATATTTTTCAATAACAGAACGTTACTATTTGGATCTTTGGATAAATTTTATTTATTCCCCCTCTCTATTATATGTGCAAAATAAAAGTACGATCTACTAAATATTAACCTGAGATGAACTCAATTTACATTGTAAATCAAGAGCATCAACACTATTTTCATTTTGTGAATGCTTGAAGACCTTCATTTGTATTTTTTTTGATGAAAACCATGATTTTTTGTTATCCCACACCAAAAGAAGCATCCCATCCTCGACCGCCTCGTAGGAATCGACGCCTTCTGTGGGACTATCATTTTTTATCAAGTTATTAACTAAACACTTTTCTCCATAGTGTGTAAAAATCTCGTTTTTCTTTGAATGCTGTTCGATTTGATCCAACGACTCCATAACTGAAGAGGGTATGAAATAACTGCTAAAAAGGATATATTTCCCTTCCTTCATGATGAATTCCCATATAACAGATTCCCCCTTTTTAAGAAAGAAGGACTTTTCATAGATTCTGCCAGCGCGAAGCGTGATATTCTCCGTGATCGTAGTCTCGTCAGCGTTTTCCCCAATGTCACTTCCAAAATTTTGACTATTCGGATCATAGTTTCCGATGCAGTTGTCTTCACAATGGCAATCCCCACCGAGAAAGTGGGGAATATACCTCCTGTCAATTACCTTCTCCAGCGCCGCCAGGCTATCCTTTGGGTAGTGTAAGTGGATCTTTTTCCGAAATTCCACATCAAAAAAGCCCTTCACAATGTTGTACGCAAACCAAACCATCTTGGGACAATTCACCACGATGATCCGTTGGAGGCAGTTGGGGTAGTATTGGAACATCCGCGTTACTATGACCTTTAATAAATCCAGGGCGGGTTTCCACAACATCGAGTAATTCAGCCCCTTCGCGTCGATGACGATGGTGATGGTGCGAATGAGCCCCTCGCTCGCGTCCACATTCTCCTCCGCGAGCTCGCCGGCATCCCAGCGATGCTGCTGGTAGATCATCAAGAGCTCGCAGACCCGGACGACGTGCTGGAGGTACTCCCAGAAGACGTCGGCGGGGCTCTGCCCGACGTTCGCGATCGCCTCGAGGCGGTGGAGCAGGCCCTGCTCGTCCATGGAGCCGATCCTGGCGTAGAAGACGGGCAGGCCGCAGCGGTCCCAGTAGTGCAGCCCGCACCGGACGTGGGCCTCGACGCCGGCGCAGAC